ATGTGTGCTGATATATGCTATCTGGAAAACAACAACAATCAGCAGTTGCTGATTTCTGTGTTGTAAATACTCCCACCATGGCAATTTCAACCCATCAACATTGTATCACAGAACAGAAGTTAGAAATATGTGCACTATTAGCTCTTCGGGAGCTAATGCAAGCTGGCTCAGCACAATGCTGCAAAATTACATTTATACATCTGTGAGTTTGCTAAAATGTCCCTAGATAGGCAGGATTTCCTAGGTTCCTTTAAGAATTGACGTTCTTATTCTAATTCTGTACATGTATTAGTATAGAAAAATGCATAAAGACATTATCTCAAATACATGCATTTGTGGACACATTTAGTCACTTAGAAACATATACCAAACATATATTATATATATAAATAAATATATACACACCTATGTATAGATTGACCCAAGCCAAAATACATAAATGCACACATAGACACCCACACATTCAGGGAGAAGGAATAAACCAATTTGATTTTCTGGGGTTGCTGCCCTGGCCTAAGGCCCCATGCCTTTCAGAACTGCTTCTGATCAAGGCAGAGGAGACTCAAAGGGCAGACTGTTTACAGTCAGTTGTCCACTTCACTCTGCCCCCAAACCCCCATGAAACCCCCATCCCTTTTGGGTTGTTCCTGGCAGTCCTGCAGGTCTGGGAGAGCCCTTCCCTTGTCTTACAGGAGGAGTCCCACCTCCATCCTTAATAAGGCAGCCCCTCACCCCTGCCTCTTTCATTGTGAGAAAGCCAAATCCAGCCTCTATCCCAGATCAACAGAGGGAGAAGTCAGCACGACCACCTACTTGGCTCTTTACCTAGTGACTTTTGCTCTGCCCTGTCCCTTACCACTTCCTTCCTTATCTCTTGCCTGGGTCATTGCCCCAGCCTTCTAATTGTCTCCCTGCTCCAGGCTCTTCTCTTCCGTTTATCACTATAAGGAGCCTGCCAGATCAAGTATCTTTTATAGCACAGTGCTGAGGTCACACATGTGCTGGCAACTTCCCCATGCAGGATAGATTAGGGCTAGATCTCTTTGAGATCCCCTAACCACTTGCCCAACTCCTGCTTCCCCAGTTCAAATTTCACTTCTGTTTTCTCCAAACATTTTTTCTCTCCCTACTCTGGTTTGCAAATTGTCTTTGCCAAAAAATCTGCTTGCTCCCTCCTTTGGTTCACAGTGGGGCATTTACCACCTCTCATAGTTGCGGTACTGTTTTATAGTTTATAAGCACTCTCAGAAATGTTTATAGACCTCCTGTCTGTGCCCCATACTGAGGTTAGCCCTGGAAATACAATGGTGAATAAAAAACAGATATGATCATGCTTTCATGAACCAAGTCAACATAACCTGTTGAAGATCTTGAGGCCAAAAGTCCTCTGCCCCAAAATCATAAGTGGATTTGGAGGGGAAGATATTTTTCCACTGTCCCTTTTAGCTGCCCCTTTCTCCCATAGAAATTTGGTCTCCCTGGAATCATGGGGACAAAGTAGAGAAAACAGAGAACAAGTGGAGAATAAGACTGTGGCTTCCAGATTCTTAGAGGACTTTACTAACCTCGTGAACATCACAAGAAGAGCTGCTAGGATGTTGCAAGCCCAGTACACAGGGGCGTTAAACTTTAAAAAAGCTGTATAGAGGTTACCACTTGTCAGCATTGCAACATCTTTATTTCCTTCCCATTACAGTAATTATCCTCACCCATAATAAGAAAAAACAATTATTTATGTGAGCCTTGGCTGATTACTTTCATTTCAGAGCCTTAGTTTCCTCACTTGTAATATGTGGTTGGAAATCTCTGTCATTCTCTATGTAGGGTTGTTAGGATGATCACGCGAGGTAAAAGTATATAGAACTCTATAGAAGTATAAAGTACAACATAGTATTATTATTAATAGTATTATTATCAATCTTTTATTCAATGCCATGTCTTCTTAAATTAATCGGATGCCATTATTTCATAAACAGGCACTCAGTGACTTTGAAATATTCTGGTCTATACAGACAGGAGACAAGACATAGACCAATACTGTACAATAGAAATATCTGAGCCACAAGTATGAACCACACATATAATTTAAAATTTTCTAGTAGCTATGTTAAAAAAAAAGATCAAAACAGACTGGCAAAATTAATTTTAATAATGTGTAATTTTAACTCACTATCTCCAAAATGTTATCATTTCAATATGTAATTCACATAAAAATCATTGGAGATATTTTTACATTCTGTTTTGGTATTACATCTTTGAAATCCTGTGTGTTTTATGCTTATAGCACATCCCATTTGGGACTAACCATATTTCAAGTGCTCAAAAGTCATATATAGCTGCTGCGTTGGACAGCACATGCAAGTCAGTAATGTATATAAAAATTAAAGATCTCTGTAGTACTTAATGGTTTCCAAAACACTTGATGATTAAATGCCACGTTGGCCTGACTTGGTGGATGTTTATCATCCCTACTTTGTGGGTGAGCAGAAGCAGCAGCAGTTATGTGTAATTCATCCAAGGTCAACAGCTAGTAAACTGTGAACTCAATCCTTGTCTTGAAACCTGGGTACTTTCTCTTTTTCTTCCTTTTCTAAACGAGCAATACAAAGGGGAACTTGAATATTATCATACATAGAAGTCCCAAGTGCATGAAAAGACACAGTTTTTCAAAATCCATCTACAATTTCCTCCCTTCAAAAATCCTGCCCAGTTTAATCCCACCAGAATCTGTTAGCACTATTATTCTAAAAATACATGTGTGCTAGATTAAGCACCTTCCAGCTCTGATGGGCCATGGATGTAAATGATATGTGGGCATAAAAAAAATCCAACTCCTCTCTCTGATACTCTCTATGATGTAGTGATTTACTTTTTAATTACCCTTGGGGGTTACATTTCAGCATCCCAAATAGGTAAGAAATGAGGTAAAGACTCCCCTCTTCTAATTTAAAAAGCACATATATGCCAAATGTTCACACCATAGTATAACAAGACCCAGATGGCTACCTGGGAAAAAGGCTCCTAGTGCAGGAGTTCTCTAGAATAACACGACAAGCATGTAGGGGTAATGTAGGGGCAGAGTAGGGGACAGGCCAGCTTGAGAACTGCCCTCGAAGGACCGGTTCCTAGGCTAATGTTTCCAAAGAGATGCCAAGGGCAGCTGACGACCCTCCTGGCCCACAAACTGCCACGCAAGCCCAGAACTGCCCACAGGAGCCCGGGGAGGCCCATAGGAGGCCCAGGTTGACTCCCAGATGTGGCTAGTTTCTTCTCCCTTCTCCTTCCCTTTTCCAACCCAGTGAAAGGAAGGGGAGCAGGGTGGTGGCTGGAAGGCAACAAAAGGTTTGCAAAACCATTATCTGCTAGTTTGCCTGGTGGTCTATGTCCCTGCCAACACCCTCACTGAGCAAATTCAAAAAAGGTCTGGAGGCTTTGGTAGAAATAAATTAGAGAAATTTATTCAAGGGTCTTAGAGTTTCCAAACTGGGAATACAGCTAGACAAAAATCCAGAAGTGTTCCAAAGAAGAAAGACAAGTTAAAAGTTCTTATGGTAAAAAAATATATTCTTGATAATTATCAGTCCTGTACTTTTTAGTCCTAAGATTAGTCTAGGAAAGTTATCAATCAGATGTCAGGTAATCAGGATGATGGATGCCAGGTGGTTCAGAAGATGGGTGTCAGTGTAAAACTGGAAATTCTCCAGTTTCAGGGAAATTCTCCAGGTGCCGGCCCCTAAGGAGAGCGGTTACTCAGTTACAGGGAGGTGATATCTCCAGGCGCCAGCCCCAGGGAGAAGTGCAACATTCCCAGGTGAAGATGATAAAATTGTCTATTAGGCCTTGTTTGAGCTCAGAGTTCCCCCCGGATACCTTTATCTGTGTACAAAAGGTTAACGACTAACTTCTGCTTCTTGTGACCTATTCACTCAAAAATGTAATAGGAGACCTTATAAGCTGCCTCCTCGGGAAGCTCGGGGCTGATCTCCTCTAATCCTGCGTTGTAGAGAGTCAGTCACTGGCTGGCTAATAAAGGCTCATAATTAATCTCAATTGGTTCTGTGGGTCTTAGAATCATTCGCGCCACAACATCAGGAAAGCCACATCAGGAAAGCCACATCTAGTGGCCTGAATAATGACTATTAGGTGGATGTATAGGTGAGTCCTAAAGTTACCTAGAGGTCCAGATATATATCCAGGCATTGACATAGACCTGGAAAGTTAAGAAGTTTTAAGTTCTTAGGGTAGTTAGAATAAGAATGGTCTTTCCTCATACCTCATCCTTCATGTTAATAATTTTGGCATCCTGATTTA